AGAGGGGGGCAACACTTCTCACCAAAGTAGAAGATCTAATCGATCCATATACGGGACAGTGGGACGAAGACCTCATTCGTGATATTTTCTCGCCCGTGGATGTACACAGAATATTACAGATTCGGTTATCTGCTAACTTGACAGAAGATTTTGTAGGATGGAACTACACACGCTCTGGCACATTCTTTGTGAGGTCGGCGTACCACAGGGAATTTGAACACCAGCATGGATCACGCTTTATGAGAGCTGATGGACAAGGGAGCCAACGGATAAATGCGGTCTAGAAAGATATGTGGAGCCTTAAAATACCGGGGAAAATCAAGCATTTTGCTTGGAAAGTTTTGCACGGAGTTCTCCCTTGTCTAGGAGTTCTAGCTAACCGGCATATCCCATGTTCTCCACAGTGTCCAGTGTGCTCAGTTGGTGATGAGGATATTCAGCATTGTTTGTTTAAATGTCAAAGAGCAACCAAAGTCTGGGATAGTTTGGGGCTGCTGCGAGACATACAAAGAGCTGTCATCGAGGATAGATCGGGATCTATAACCATGGAGATCATCTCGAAATTACGAGGTACAGATGGAGAGATACCAAAGGCAGAACTTGCTGTTATTGCTGCATGGTATATATGGTGGCAGAGACGACAGTCGGTGAAAGGGATACAGGTTCAGAACCCGGAGAAAATTGCACTCTCGATCAAGGTGTTAGCAACAAACTATATTAGATCATTTAAGCTGAATGGACCTGCTAGGAAGATTGATGGTTTATGGAAAAAACCAGTACATGGGATGGTAAAGATAAATGTTGACGCTGCTTTCCAGTCTGAGACACTCTCTGGCGCTTCTGGAGCGGTAGCTCGAGATGAACGGGGGGATTTTGTAGCTGTTGCATTCTGGTTCTTACCCAACGTCACTGATGTGGACTCGGCGGAGCTCATCGCAATCAGGAACGGAATGTTCTTGGCAAGTCAGATTGGCTGCTCTAGAGTCATGTTTGAATCAGATTCTTCTTTTGCTGTAGAGGCCATTAATCAGCTGGAGGGCTACTTAGGTCCCGAGTTAGCAACAATCGCAAAGTGCAAGATCTTGATGCTAGACTACGAGAAGATTTCCTTCAATCATTGCTTTAGGGAAGCAAACATGGTGGCTGATGAAATAGCAAAGTACTCCTTTAGCAATAGATCTTCTGTAGTCTGGGAGGATGAAACTCCTGCCTTTATTTCTCATCTGCTTGTAAACGACATGTCAATTATATGAGGAATAGAGAGTTTTACTGTCAAAAAAAAAGTCAATGAGGTGGTGAGAAAGCGAGGCTTGTAACAAAAGGGTTCAGGCAGAGACCCAACATCGATTACGATGTAACATACCCGCTTGGTATGAGTGGAATTATGTTTCGATACTAAATATCATTGGCAATAAAAAAATATTATCCATGCACTTGATGGATGAAGTGGCTACATACTCATATGAGTCACTCATTTCGGAAATCTCTATTGAAGTCCCTGAAGGGCTTACACTTCCTAATCCAAAAGCAAATCGCAACAAGCTTTGTGTAAAACTTCATAAGTCGCTCCATGAATTGAAATAGTCGGAAATCATATGGTACTACCGACTAAATGAGTTCCTTCTTAAAAAGGATTACTCGATTAATGATGATTATTTACATGTTTAATAAAGGAATCAATTTGACTTCCTTTCATCACCTCAATGTATATTGATGACCTCATCATCAATGTCTATACAAGATCTGAACATGCACACAATTATCTCAAGACGGGAAATTTGGATTCAACCAAATTTAGCTTAAGTTTACAACTTGAGCATTCTCTCAAGAATACATATCAGTCTACATATATCCAAAATATATATGAGAAGTTCAATGTGGATATATCATACCAACAAAAGGTACATGGTCGATATAAGAAATATTAACTTATATCTCAAGCCCACAATAAATCTTGGGCAATTCCATCAGGAAAATCAAGATATGACCATGATATGATGAAATGATATTGGCTCTTTATTTGATCCCAACAATGCCATATCAGTGACTGAATTCACTGGAATAGTCTTCTCATGAAAGTCATCTAAATAGACTTTAACGACTACTTCCACTAATCACTCTAACATAATTGCTTTATCTAAAAGCATTGCCAAATATGCATGGCTCAACAGAATGATTAACCACACTCAAAATCATGTGGTTGGGATTCTTCGGAATCACATAACTTGATTTGTCAAGATGCTACCACTTGTGTTACTCAAAAACTACAGGTTATATGAAGAGCAATATCATAAAGTACATTGCTAAAAAAATTACTTATCCTCACGAATTATAGACAAGTAAGGAAACAATATGCAGACAACATATTTTGAAAGTCCTATAGATTATTCATAATGTCATGACCATATCAATGGAATTTGTATTACACATTCTCCAGGTTTGCAAAGTTCAGGGGGAGTAATCTTCCAAATCTATAACCTATTAACAATCCTAAGATTGCATATATTATACTCTTTTTCCCTTCATGGGTTTTTCCCTAATGGTTTCTCATAAAGGTTTTTAACGAGACAATATAAACACAAGTTCCCGTATATGTCATATCATTTTCTCCTTATATTCTTCCCACTGGGTTCTAAAGGAGTTTTCAATGGCATATCATATCGCACTCTTTTCACTTATGAGTTTTCTCTCAAAGTTTCTCATAATGATTTTTAATGAGGCAATATCTTTTTAAGATCATATGCTATACTTTCAAGTTTTTTTCCCATCGGGTTTTTAAAGGAAAGTATACTCCAGACATATTAATTGTTCTCTAAACTCATCAATGAGTTTTCTCCTTCTTCAAAGGTTTTTCTCATATGAGTTATCAAGAGGCAATAATCATTATATGTTGCATCATTTTCTCCTTATTATTTTTCCCACTGGGTTTAAAGGAGTTTTAGCAACATATCTGCACTATTCTTCTCATATTTTTCCCACATGGTTTTTGGAGGAGACATTCAAAATTATTCAAAGAATTTGTCAAGATGATGAATGTACTAAAGAAGAGGCGTTGTACAAGGGGCAGTGTTAAGAATAGAATAGTTGCTTATTCATTAAGCTAATTAGGATTAAGTTAATTGTTAGATAGGTTGATTGGTTCTCAAGCAACTATGTAATTCCTTGGCTCTCAAGGCAACTATGTAATTCCTTGGCCCTCAAGTAACTATGTGTTTACTTGACCGCCAAGCATCATGTGTACTTCCATCTGGGTATAAATACCTCACTTTTATCATCAATAAAGACTAATGGATCATCTTTCATTCAACTCTCTCGTTCTTTACTTTTTACTTCAAACAGAGGCGTTCCATTCATCGGGGGCGGTCAGAGGAGACTCTGCGCGCAGCGACACATCTGGTGACGCGGACCAGAGGTGTAGAGCGGGCGGCACATTTTGGCGACTACGACCTGGGGTGGGGTGTAGAGCATGGCCGCGCGTCCAGGATATCTCCCCGTTGCGTTGTGCAGCGGCGGCCGACGTGCAGCGCGATCTCGCGGTGCGCAAGTGCGGGGTCAAGCACGGCGCAGGTGCCAGAGATGTCATCCCGCCACGGAACTTCGCGCAGGTGGTATGCTTGCTCGACGACAATTGCTATGAGATGCTCGACGACGAGAACCACTCGTCCTTGGCGACGAACACGCGTGGCGGCCACTGCTCGCTGTCGTGGTTGCAGTAACTCCTGAAGTACTCGACCGGAGCAGAGCTTGCTAGCGTCCAGCCTTGACGACATGTCATACGCGCGCCCGTCCATCCCCCTCCCTCATGGCTGGTTGCCGACGGGGGGAGATGGAGGGCGACGACGCGCGTGGGTATGGAAGGGCATTTTGACTAGTCAAAATGCCCAGGTGGCGTTTTTTGCCAAGTCACCTCCTAACAACCGGGCCTGTATGTCATAAACAGGCTTAAAGCGTTCTAATCCGGCGATCAATGTTATTTGAAAAAAAAGTACCGTGGTCATGTTGGTTTCTGTCAAAAATATGTTTTCTAATAATCTAGCCCTCAAAGTGGTAGTTTATTACAATTTACTCTTTGAAATCTTAAGGGGATAACTCTTCGGACCAGACTTGCCTGCTCCCTTTCCATGCTCCCATCCGTGCTCCTGCGTACGTGGCTTGATTTGATTGAAAGAAAATAAGACCTGGCCCCACCCCTGAAAATCAGGGGGGAGATGATTATATTAGAAAAGAAAAAGGAAAAAGGACAGCCGTAGGATGAAGTGGGAGCACGGATGGGAGCATGGGAAGGGAGCAGGCAAGCCGGATCCTAACTCTTCTCGCCAAGCATCTTCCTTAACTACCTAGCTTGCAGAGAATAAAGTAGGCTTTGGCTGAGATACGTAAAGGAGGAATAGTCAACTATACTCCGAATGTGCTTTGAGCAGACAGATATGTAGGTTGCTAGGAAGGAGGTAAGCGCTTGTCTTTCTGATGTCAAGAAGTAAGAAGAGGTAAAACTCCTAAAAAACAACTTGATCTATGTTGAAAGTTTATGTCAGCAAGCAAAGAGATTGCCTAGGGCGAAAGAAACCAGAGTCCCTAAAAAAAGCATCCAGCCACAGCCTGGTTACTCTCACATTTATGTGATCCCCAAACAAGACCCTAATAGCAAGCAGTCTGGGTAAGGAAGAGGAAGGGAACAAATAGCATCTCATATACGTAGTGACCATTAATTATGTTATGAATCATATTATGCAAAGGAAAGCACGTATGAGGAATGCATGACAAGTCAGAACTGTTCTTGTGATCGTTGATATATTCAGGCACAATTCACTTGGTTGAAAAACAGAGTGAGTTCATCGGACTTAAAACATCACAAACCAATCTAAAAATAGCACAAGAGTATGATGAGAATGAGGTTAGGCCTCTCTAGCATCTTAAGTTGGGAAGGAGACACAAGATATATTTGCCAGAGTTTGCAGACAGCCGGCAGCAGTATCACTATTCATCTCCATTATCTTCTCTTAGAAGACCAACCCTTGCGGGATGTTAAACAGAGCACGGATTGTCTCACTGGCCATATCTAAGAGCTGTAAATACTCATCTGCCCCATCGACCAAGCACTGCAAATCATAAAAGTTAAATGAAAGGACTATGAGAAGAAGAATGGAACAGAAGGACCAAGTCTTTTGAAAGATTCATTATGTCATAGCACATGTAAATCGTGGACTTATTCCGACTGTAAACAAAAAGTCATGTTCTAACTTTGATCGATATTGCTGAAATACTCAGGTCAAGCTTCCCAGAAACCGAGAAGCAGAACATTACTTATCTTACCCTCCATTATAATCCTCTGTCATCAAATTTCCCTATGTGTTTTTTTTATGTTTTAGGTTCCCAATGCTTTATTTATTTATTATGTTTTAGGTTCCCAATGCTTTATTTTTTTTAATTATGTTTTAGGTTTCTCTATGGCAACATGCAACTCACGAAAGTAAGTATGAAAAAAATGGTTGTTCTCGTACTACTCCCTCCGTTCCATAATGTAAGACGTTTTTTGACACTATGCTAGAGTCAAAAAGCGTCTTACATTATGGGACGGAGGGAGTACAATTTTGGATGGCTATCCCGTGAAACTAGCATATAAAGAATGAGATAAACCTTATCAGCTTCCCCAAGCTTTCTACATATTCTTGCCTTGTGCTCATCTGGAATATCATCCGCATTAACAATCACATCTAGAAACTGAATGTGAACACTTTAGTCAGTGGTAATTGTAAGATGAAAACAACAGGTAACACATCATGTCATCTATGTATACGAGAGCTGACCTGCGAGAGCAGCTGGGAAACTGGATATCCGTCTGCAATAATATTGCTAACTTCCTTGTTTGCCACATCAAATTCACCAGATTTGCATGCTACAAGCAATGACTTGACAATATCTTCAGGGATAGCCTGATGCAGGAAGGTAAACTTGATGAAAACGGAATAATTTGACCTCCCAAGAGAAGGCAGAGAAAAAACAATTTCTTGTTCAAATGACCCAACTCTTTTCACAGTAAAATTTATCACAGCATGAGATTGCAACCAAACAATTTGATCACACCATGTGCAGAACCTTACCAAAACCAAATCCTGGTCCAAATCCACTTTATTAAAGTTCAAGAGAACAACATTATCAAGCAAGCAGGTTTTTCGTATAACAATATGTTGCAGGAAGTACCAAAATTTGTAACTTAACATGTAAGTTGGCATTTGCAAGAAAGTGTGTGATGATATACCCCTGAAACACTAATCAGGTCGCTGGAAGAAATAGAAGATCCAAATAAGCGAGCTGCACTCTGCAACCACAAAAAGTAACATGAAAACGGACATACTTAAACCATAGCATAATGCAAAGTGCTAACTGAGAAAACCATCAGACCTGAAGATAAGTTATAGCACGACGAAGATCTCCTTGAGAGATGGCACTTAATGTGGATAGCGCCTAATATGGAAAATACAGAAGCCACTCAATATGTCAAGATAAGCCGACAATTGATTAAAGGATCTGTGGCAAAACTTGGGCTGGGAATATGTATGATGTGGACATATATTTTGAAGTGAAAACAGTAAGGTTACCTGAGCATCCAGAGTGAGCCCTTCTTCATTGCATATATGCAAAATGCGGTTGCTCATCACATCTTCTGAAAGAGGCTTGAACCTAAACTTTGCACATCTTGATGCAAGTGGCTCTATTATCCTGCATTGCACAATGATCATGGGTTCATAAATTCAATAAATAATGTACCACAGGAAGAATAATATGAAAAGATTGATGAATACCTGCTGATATAATTGCATATGAAAAAGAATCTTGTCACTTTGGAGTAAGTCTCCATAGTACGCCTCAATGCATTCTGCAAATAAATCATGGTATCATCGACTTTCACACATACTTTATAAAGTACTGCAACAATGATGATATATGAGTGCTACATATGGTAATGTACCTGGGCATCTTCTGTCATCGAATCTGCTTCGTCTAGTATAATAATCTTGTATGGTGGGCAGGGATAACCACTGAAGGCCATAGCAAAACAGAAATAGACAGTGATCAACAATGTAACTATCAAACGAAAATCAGAAAATCTGAAGGTTCCTAATTGTGTTGAGCTTACCCTTTCCGTGCAGAACCAACAGCCACAGCAGCAAAATCCTTGATCTTTGTCCTCACCACATTAATTCCCCGTTCATCACTCGCATTAAGCTCCAAAACTCTTGACTTGTAGAGCTCTGGACTGAGTTATCCAAAGAGAACCAGAAAACTAAACCGAGTTTCCAATCATACTGGCAGTAATCTCATATAGTTTTTACTACCAGAGATGCTGGAACCAATTAATTATCACAATCAAAGGATAAGACCTTTAGTAAGCATCTATAAAGCTTAAACTACCGAAGGTTCTCATTTCTTGAATTAGAATTGAATATGCACCATTCAACTCATTAACCCAAAGATGAAGCATTAACATGTTTGGATATTCTAACGAGTATTGCCATGGCACAAAGATATCCTCACTGTCCAATAATAAAGCAGGCATTCTACTTGTTATATGGCCCAGTGAGTATCAGCACATCACATAATCAGTAAACCATACCCTCGAAACAATTGTTTCTGTTTTCAAATATGCACCCAATTCTTAAGATTGTACTGATTAGACAACCCAGCATCTGCCAAATTAAAAAAAAAACTAACATCGTGACAGTCCATTCTTATCAAAAGCTCCAACTTTCTAGAAAGAAATGTAATCCCATTACTACACTGTTTGCGCACAACAATGAACAGAGTTAGGGCGCCATTCTGATGAATGGATCTCCATAGAACTCTACAACAAACTATATACAGAAGTAGCTCAACATCTATTGACTCAGAACATTGCACAATGCACCATGCGCATCTAATGCTCCCATTACATTGACTACAGTTACACGATCGCTGACTATTGACAAGTATGACACCTAGGGATGTAAATGGCAAATAAACGGCGTCCGCAAGTCCCGTTTAGTTAGTTTTAGCTAGCTCCATAGTTAATTTTCCTCGGAAAAAAGCTTTTTTAAACTGTTAGACCATACATGGGCTTAAACGGGACCCGGTTTACATCCCTACCTTCTAAGTTAATTATTACTGCTAATACTGACCCAAGCAGAGACAAATACACAAAACCAAAGAAAAATGGCCAGCAAGGGAGTACCCGTAGAGCTGGTATGCAATGGCAAGCGCAGTGGTGGTCTTCCCCGTGCCAGGCGGACCGTAGAACAGCATGTGCGGCAACTGCAGGGGACCAAGCATCAAATAAGACACCTCCCAAGGGGCTCAATGAACAGATTAGAAGACAAAAACATCGTCACGACTCAGATGGAGAGCTAGGGTTAGAGAGAGCGCGCGCGCGAACGTACGTCGGCGGTCTCGAGGGTGTTGGTGAGCACCCGGACCACCTCCTCCTGGTGCGCGACGTCCTTCACCTGCCTCGGCCGGCTGCGACGTCAGGAACAGGCGCAATTAGAGCAAAACCACGAGGGCTTCTTCGCAAACTGCGCGAGAAATGGGGAAATCGAAGGGGGCGACGGGGGGGAAGGGTGCTTACTATTTCTCCACCCATGGTTGTGACGACGGCACGAGCGGCGCCATCTCTCCTCCTCGGTTGCCGCCGCGACGAAGGGAAATGGTGAGGACTGCGCAGGCGGGGGCGAGCGGCGGGCGGCTGTCTCGGTTTCGCGCGCTGTGTTTTGGGGGTCGAGGTTTTAAGGGGTGGGTGTGGAGGTGAGGGTTCTGGCTCGGTGTTTCAGCACGCCTCAGTCGAGGGTTTTGCTCGCAAGGATTCGGATGTAAGAGCACGTTGCGCTGAATTGTAAAATAACCGTCAGTAGTCTTGTGTGAAAAAAAATGATCCGAATAAATACCGTATCGGACCGCGGCCTTTAAAATTTTTACGAGGCACGGCAAATTCTCCCCCTCAATTTTTAGAAACACGAGGCGGGAGGCCGACCCGAGGGTGACCCCTAGCGAGATTTGGCGGGAGGGACATTTCTGCGCGGCAGTTCCGCTCTCTCTTCCCTCCGCCGCCATTGATCTTCCTTCGCCCGCTCCGGACCACCTTCCCCGGCTCTGTACCGCCGCCATGGACACCTCCTAGCCGTCGCCCGTCACCGTGGAAGTCATGGACGCGCCAACCCCTCAAGCAGATCTCGTCGCCGGTCGTGTCGCGCTCGTCGCCGTTCAAGCCTCCACCGCCCATCCTCGCAAGCGCCAGTGCAACTTCGTCGTCCAGAGCGGCGCTCCGCAGCCACCGCCGGGAAGGCACGAGCGCCCCGCCGCCGCTGCAAATCCGGTCCAGGCCATCCCCACCCCGTCGGTGAAGATGCGCAAGGTGGCGGGGGTGAAACGCAAGAAGGCGGCAAAAAAGGTATTGTGGGCACAGCACCACCACTTCCTTCGATCGCCACTGCAAGAGTTTCCCCGAGGACGCCCGCCAGCTACGCTGGTGTCACCGCCCCCGAGGTGTTCGATGGAATGGGTGCAAGGTATGGAACTTTGATTTTCTTGTAGTTGTCTTCACTTTTTGCCATTGCCATTTGTTCGTGACTAGTAGAGCGAAATTGTAGCGCCGGTTTGCATGATGCGACTGCCGAGTTTGTGCACATGTTGGACGACAATGTTGTCGACTTGATCAACCCCGAGTGATGATTACGGCCACAATGAGATGGATGGTGGTGTGGACGCTCACAGTGGGGAAGAAGATGAGGTGGAGGAGATTGGCGAGGGGATGTTCGACCAAGCGCAAGCAAAAGTGCGCGTGAGATCGAAGAACTACACGCATTGAAAGATCAAGGCTTGGGAATCTGTGTCTCTTGATGCGTGGACCGGCACTGACCAAACCGGCAAGCGGTATTGGCAATGGATAGAGGACCAGTTCTTTCGAATGATGGCAAGCAGTGACGGGTGGTGGCTTCGATGCCGGTGGTAGAGAGTGATGATGATGATGATGGTCATGGAGGTGGTGGTGGCTTCGGTGGCGGTGGTGGAGAGTGATGATGATGATGGTCATGGAGGTGGTGGTGGCTTTTGCATGAGGTTCTTTTGGGTCATCGATGAAAACTACGTTTAATTTCCGCGCAAACTAGGTTTGATTATTTGAATTTGTAGCCATTTATCGGAATTGCGGTCAAATTGTCTAATATGTTTTTTCGGTTTGAGGGTTGGCGCGGCCTGCGGACGAACAGACCCCGCAAGGCCAAACGGTAAATCAGTCAACCGCAGCCCGTGCCAGCCCTCAAAACACGTTTTCTGCAGCCATTATACTCACTTTAAAGGTACGCGCAATAAGAGGTTTGCTAGAGATACTCTAACCCCTCCTTCTTCCTTTGAGTGAAGTAGTTGTATAGCTCGTCGAAAATGAACCCCCAACTTCAAATTCCTGGAGTCTATACCTTGTACTCATTGATCCTAGTCAATTTCAACCCTATACATGTTTGGCGCACCAGGAAAAGATCCATCCCGTCCGGGATCAAAGTCTACTCTCACTTACATCCCTACCCCACATATCATATCCATTCTCCATCCCAAATTCCCTCCTCTCCCTCTCTCTCCCGAAATGAAAATCAATGGAGCCACCTCAACACCATCAACACGGCGGACCGGTGATGCGTGTCTGCCTTAGAGGTCATTGTCGGAGGAGGGTGTGTAGTGGCCACACGCGCCTCGAGCACCCCTGCAGGCATTCACTACCAACACCGTCATGAGGGTGTCAGAGTCGAGAGAGTGCCCCGCGAAGACGATCTTGCAGTCACGCCCTTGCTGGTGCAACAGATCCTGCACCGCCTTTGTCTCCATCTCGAGTTTGAAGTATGAATGCCTTGAGCAACACGTGATGCATGTAGTCGTCGTCCAACATGTGCATCTTGAACTTTTTGTCCATCAAGACATGCAAGGAAGGAATGAAACGGCTCGTCCCCTTGTAGTCTGCCTTACAGCATGTAGCCGTCGTCCTGTCAGCTCATTGTCCATTGAGGACGCAATGGATTACACACTCTAGCCCGCACGACACCGACATGGTTGCCTTGGTGTTTCCCGCATGCCTCAGTCGAGGGTTTTGCTGGCCATATTGGGATGTAACCGCTCCTTCTCTCTTTTGCGTCTGAGAGCATCTCTCCCAACAGATCATGCCGCTAAAATAACCGTCATTTTACGAGATGAGGATAAAAAATCGTTACGGAATGGGGACAAAAAATCATCCCGCACATGTCCCGTAAAAGCGAGTTGTGTCAATAAAATTGCGGGGAGCTGCATATTTCAGCCCGCGCCGGCCATATGTCTAGTCCCCTCTCAGCTTTTGTCGCCCCTCTATCCGTCGCTTGACCTGGCGAGAGGGAAATTTGTGCCCCCTTCTTTGGCGCCCCCGGATGTTGCCGCCGATCTCCCTGGCCCCGTGCCTTCTCACCTCTTCATGCCTCCAATCGCTGGCATGGAGTACCCGCAGGCACCGGTCTGCACATTTCATGCGCCGCTATCCCAATCGGTGTCGCCTCGTCCTCTTGCGCCTCCCACAACCGTGTTCCCTATCGTCGCTCCAACTCCTTCCGTCGCTGGCGTGAAGCGAAAGCCGCAAGGCAACAACGTCGTCCATGGAGTCGTGCCTGCCGCCGCCCCAACTTCTTCTGGCACGTCATGCTCCCTCACGTCGCGGTCGCCGCCTTGGGGACGAATGTAGTGACCAGACCTCAAACAGTCTAGACTCTGTGCATCAGTGTCATCCCTGGATCGGTAATGCTGACACACACAGTACTTGAGGATTTATAACAGAGTTTCAATCACACGCTTATTACATCGAATGTCTCAAAAGAGAACTTATTACAATAATATGGCTTAAGGCCATCTAGAAACGATAACAACGGGAGGCTTGGAAGATAAAGTGAGTCCATCAACTCCAACGGCATATCTGAGTGAACGACAGCGACCTATGGCACCTTACTCGTCGTCTGAAAAGTCTACAACATGAAATGTTGCAGCCCAAAACGGGTCAACACATGGAATATGCTGGCAATGTAACACATAGAGTAATGAACAGAATGAATGCTATCACTACATGCATATGTGGCTGGTGGAAAGCTCTACGGTTACAGTTTGCATAAAGCCAATTTTTCCCTACAACAAAGGAATAAATTTTATTTAACTATCATGGTGCTTGTTAAACATTGAGAAGGTTCCTCCAACTCAATCCCAATTAAGCATCATCATTAAACCCAATCAAATTAAATTTAGAGTGATGAGATCAACATGATAATCCAAGAACCAGATACTCAAGATGTCCATAACCGGGGACACAGCTACCCATGATTAGGTTGTACACTCTGTAGAGGTTTGCACACTTTTCCCCACAAGACTCGAACACATCCATGGTCGGAGATTCAAGACACGGTCTTTCTAAAGCATTAACTCTCTACTCTTGGTAGATAGTACCACCTACAACCCATTACATCTGCTAGTCTACCTCTTCAAGAGCTTCACGCAACTCACTCAACTATGCGAGAGCCCATATTGGCTTGTGGCTGCACACGGAAGTTTCCAGCATGAATAATCTTATGATCCCTTTGAGCCTGGGTGGCGAACCGTAGGATGATCACAAGGGTACTCCGGGATATCCTAGGACAACACTAGATTCTCCAGGTGCCCTGACAACCATTGGGTATTCCAGGGTGCCTCAAGCAATCCACCCTGATGTGTATTTAAGTAGCCACCTTAAATTAACCATTAATTAACAGTACTCACAACTGTCATGGATTCACTCACCCAAACCACGTCTACGAGCATAGCATAGCAATATAAGCATAACATGGAAGTAACTCCCAAAGGTTTGATAATAAACATGACAATAGGTTCTACCTCATCATCTACTTCCCAAAACCCACATGTTAATCAGATCCTAACCATGCAATGTTTGAGGGTTGATCTAATGCAATAAAACTGGGTAGTAAAGAGGTATGATCAAAGTGTTACTTGCCTTGCTGATGATCCGCAAAACCTAGAGACTCGTAGTAGCACACTTCGCACTCCGGGTACTCTATCGCAAACAAACAATAACATACGTAAGCACTCAACTAGAAGCACGGGTAAAACTCAAATAAGAGATCAAATCAGAAAGTTCAACTGAAGAACCCCGGTTTGCAAAAAGAATCAAATCAAACGGAGCAACGAAACTCAAACTGCGAAAGAAACAAGATTCGTTTACTAATCTGGAGTAAAGTCAAGTTTTACAGTACCAAAATCTTGTTCAAGTTGATTAAACAAAAAGAGGGCTTCGAGACAAAGATCTAGGCACTTGAATCACCAGATTCCGATAAACGAGCGAAAAGATAAACTAAAATGAAGATCAGGGCAGAAATCACGATCGAAAATAAATCGCGGAAAAACCCTGGAAAAAGAAAAACTGACGAACAGGCTAACGAATGAACGTTCGCTGTCTGCGGCTAACGGATGAACATCGTTTGCTAAAATGAACATATGGACGAACGTCCGCTATTTAACTAAACTGGAAAAAAAACCGATTCGATCTAATCTAAAAAATAGATCTAGGTTTTCAAAAAAACGATTGGTTTTCCGAGAAAAACCATACGGCGGCGGCGGCTACCTCA